CTGCAGTTCGCTTCCTTTTAGAGCAGAGAAGGCCGCAGGGAGGGATGGATTTGATTGAAATATAGAAAATAGGAGTGTAAGTAGGCAATTTGACCCCCTTGACCCTGGTCTGCCGCAGTATGATCACAGCTGATTTTCAAGCTCAATACCCTAATCCCACCCTACCCCCATATCCCTTGATCCCTTTAGCCACGAGCTATATGTACCTCCATGAAAGTACAATAGCTTAGCCTCGACTGATTTCTGTGATAGTGAGTTCCACAGGCTCACCACTCTCTGGGTGAAGAAATTCTTCTTGTTTCAGTCCTAAAAGGTTTTCCCCTGATCCTTACCTGTGACTCATCCACCATCAAGCAAATCCTTCCTGCATCGAACCTGCCTAGTCCTTTCGGAATTTCATAGATTTCACCTTGTTCTTCTAAACTCCAGTGAATACAATCCTAACTGACTCAATCCTCATTCATCAGTCCAGCGATCCCAGGAATTAATTTGGTAAACTTTTGCTGCACTCCTTCTGCAGCACAAAATAAGGAGACCAAACCTGCTCACAATATTCCAGGTGTGGTCTCGCCAATGCCCTGTATAATTGCAGTAAAAACATCCTTGTTCCTGTACTCCAAAGATGGGATGTATGACGTTCTAAGGGGCATAGACAGGATGTGTAAGGGGTCAGTAGCCATGGGCACAGTTTTAAAGTAAGGAGCAGGAAGTTTAGACTGGACTTGAACAAATAAATTTTCACCAGAGGGTTGTAGGTCTCTGCAAGTTGCTGCTTAAAAGGCTGGTAGAGATGGTAACCCTAAAGACAAAACATTACACTTAAATAGATTCAAGGACATAAATGGAGGGTTGTTGAGAAGTGAGAAGTATTGCCAAAGCTTTTCACCCTAAACTCATTGGGATAAACAAGTGTCGTTGAGATGCTGGGTAGGGTTGCTCACAATAAGAGTATAAACTGCAAAATCCAAAACCAAATGAATATGGTTAGATTTGATTCCATAATTGGATAGCTGAACAGACCTAAGTGTGTTATTAACTGCAGTAACAACAGAGTCAATATATTTGGTCCAGCTCATGGTGTGGCACATTTAGTTTGCTAGAGCAGCGTCCATACCCGCTCTCTCTGCAAACAAGAGGAACATGTTCAAGCCTTGCACATTTTTTAAATTATGTGGGATTCTGGGGAGTCTGATATTCCCTATTGCTTCTCCATGGCATCACCTCAACCGGTCATTTCCCCCTCTGGTATAAATTGTGATTGGCATTCTTCCTTTAATCCTGATGTGTAAGCTTTAAACCATCAGCAACATGTTTGTTTTTTTTTAGAAACGCCCAATAACTAGCCCACGTCAACTTGTATATCAACTGCAGCCCAGTTGGTAACATTCCCACCTGATGAGGTGCAAAGTTGTGGATTCAAATCACACTCTTGACACTGGAGCATGTAATCCTAGGATAACAGTCCCAGTGCTGTACTGTTGATCGTAGAATCCCTACAGTGTGGAAGCAGGCCATTTGGCCCATGGGGTCCACACTGAGCTTCTGAAGAGCATCCCACCCAGATCCACTCCCACCCTGCATATCCCATGGTTAATCCATCTAATCCGCACATCCCTGGACACTATGAGCAATTTAACAATGGCCAATCCACCTGACCTGTACATCTTTGCACTGTGGGAGGAAACTGGAGCACGAAGAGGACAGGGAGAACGTGCAAACTGCACCCAGACAGTTGTCCGAGGGTGGAATCAAACTGGGTCCTGGTGCTGTGAGGCAGCCGTGCTAACAACTGAACTGCTATGCAACCCACTTGTTGAGAGATGCCATCGTTCATCTGAGATTTTAACCCAAAGTCCTGTCTCTTCAATGGCCATATAAGAAAATGACACTTACAACCCCTGCCCTTTTGAATTTTTTTTCTGTGAACTTTGGCTGAAGCTTATCATTAAAGCAAGTGATTTTCCCATAGTTTGGGAAACTATGGGAATTCCCCATGTTGCGACAGGAAAGGCACTGCCTCTAAAGTACAATGGGATGACCTTGTGGTGTGAAAGGAGCTATATAAATGCAAGCGTTAATTTGGGAGCTTAATTGGTCCAAATGTCATGTGAAATAGATATTTTCTAATCACTGTTCAAGGAGATGTTATGCCACACCTCTGGAGCAGGGGGAACTTCAACAGAGGCCTCCTGGCTCAGAGATAAGGTCACTACCACTGCACCACTCAATCCCTGGAAGAGCCAGAACACACTAGTTTGTGAGAATCTTTGAGATTATTAATCATAAGTCAGTGTTGCACTAATCCTTGGCACCCAACCGATGAGAAGTGAGACATTAGCCAAGGTGACCACTTTTTTTTAGAAAAAGAAGCTTTGACACTGGTGGGCTCACCCTGACAGCATGAGCTCCGAACACACACCCGTTCGTGCATCCGTTGTGATTTAAATACTTTATTGATGCTGACAATGAGTTTTTTAAAAAAAAATTATTCTGGTGTTTGACAAAAGAAGTTAGTCTGAGTACTTCATTGTCCAAATCCAAAGCAGTCAAAGATCATCAGCCACTGCAAATTATTGGAAATGTGTATTTGAATCCAGTCTGATTCTATAGTACTGCCTTGACACTAAAGCAATGGGGCTTCTCTATCAATGAAATGCCTTGGTTTTCTCCTCCTGTACTGTATGTTAGTGGTTGCCATTCATAAAACCCTGAGATTGAACCACCCAATCAAAACCGAAAAACATCTCCTCGCGTCCCTGTTCCTTTCCTTCCTACCTGGCATTCAGTTTTGGTCAGAGTAAAGAGGTTTAGGCAAGACAGTCTTTAATTCCTCTCACCTCACCTACGAATGGATGGAAGGAAGATCTGGGGGTTACATCCAAGATTCAGGTAAATTCAACGAGGAATTCAGGAGAAATTCCTTCCTCAGGGTGGCGAGAATGCGGAGCTTGCTAACAGTATAGTTGAGATAAATAGGCAATGATGCATTTAAGGGAAGTTGGCTAAACAAGAGTGAAAGATATGGAGGGATGTGCTAATTGCAATGGAAGTGAATAATATGGAGCATAAACATGAGGATGTGGGTGACTTTTAACACCCTTTTGAAATGGCTGACCAAGGCAACTCGGTGACGGGTAGCAAATGCTGGCCTTGACAGTAACAAACTTCCAACCAATAATTTTTGTTTTAGAATTAACACCTGCACTGAATGGCCTGTTCTGCCCTGTCGATTCTATGCATTTTTGCATAATCTGTTCTTGTAAGTTTCTTGTGCAATATTAATCAGAATTACTTGTGGTGCCCAAGGCCCCAGGTACATGTCGATGAAGTCGATACGTCAGAGAAATGGTCTTTGAAATGGGAGTTTGGAGTGCCTAGAACACTTGTTGCAGTGAGCAGTTTTTAAATAAAGATTTGTTTTGCCAGCTGCTGTCACTCTGTAATTAAACAATATATTTAATGCATCTATTTAATTGCTGTAGGGTTGCATCAAAACAACTTTGAGTGCCAGTATGTTCTAACATCGTGGAAGTCATTTAATCCACGGTTGATCTCGGGAGTTGACAAATTTTAGCTTATCCAGTTACTCCTGTCTGTTCAATCTAAAGACCAGTTCGCGGCTTTCTCCAAACCATAAAAAAAAAACCAGAACCTTCAAGAAAACGAAATCAAACTTTTTATTACCGGCACCTATGGAACCAGGAGTGTACCAGTTGATGAAATATTGTGGTTGACCCAAGAGGTCCATATAAGTAATGTAAAAGCACACACTAAGTAATAGAAACCTAATGCAGGGGGTATACAAATCACTGTTATACTTTAATTACAGCACAAATCACTTCCAAAAAAAAAGTAATTATGAAACTTCACCTTAAATAGAACTTACTGGCAGTGCGCCTTCTCACTTGCACCCTCCGGCAGAGATTGCGATAATACAGTAAACGCGGTATTGGTTGTTTTGCCAGTTTATCAAGAGGGAACTTCTACAAGGTGCCGGTTAAAACAAAGCTTGCTTATCTCGCCTTTGTTTGATGTTCAGGTGTGACTGAATCCTTTAGGATAAAGCCTTCACAGACTTCAAGGACTATTATCCACTGCATTTCAATATGATTTTCTTTTTAAAAATAGTAAGAGGTTTTGAAATAGTGACAAATAATGGTTAGAAAAAACTCTTCACAAATTCGTCTTTAACAAATGTTAGCTTTTTTTATACATGTAAAGAAAGGGGAGCCTTTATTCAAATGAACATCTGGCCATCAGTAATTAGGGTGCCCCAGGAGGATTGGGTTTTTTTCAGATTATAGCATGTCTCTTCAATCCTCTTTTAAATGTTGAGAGTTGCTAAATGGTTTCATACACTCCTGAATTTCTGAGGCTGATATCTGTTCTCTGATCTGAAACCAGACCGACCCAGCCATCAGTGGGAGATGTTGCTGGATACAAACTGTGTGGGCCTTGTTACATCAATCTCTTCATCTCCGTAAATGGCAGCCTCATTCTCTCAGATTTGTTCTCACTGCTCAAAACTTAGGAGAACATAGAAAATGGGAACAGGAATGGGCCATTCAAGCCTGCTCTGCCCCTCAGGATCGAATATTCAATCATAGCTGATCATCCAACTCAGTACCCTGTTCCTGCTTTCATTCCGTACCCTTTGCCTCCTTGAGCTCCAGGAACTATATCTAACTCCTCAAACGTTCAATTCTGTGGACTCGACAGTTTTCTATGTCCGAGAACTCGGCACTCCCTGGATGACATTGACCAGATTTCTGCTTGTCACCTCAGCCCTTTGGCTCTGCATTCATTTTGTCCAGTCACGCCACCTTTAACATGGAATGACACAGCACAGCAGGAGGCATTCACCCTTTTTGTTTGGGCCTTTGCTAGCCCCTCTAATGTGCGTGGGACTGTGGAAATGTTTTGTGAGATACTTCAGAAATTTTGCGATGCCTTTTATTAATCCTGACCCTTGTGTGTGTGTTTTTTTTTGGTTTTCGCAGATTACAATCATATTCAAGAGCTTCCAGGGCTGCACAGAGCAGAAGGTTTATCAAGCAACCACGAATGACCTTCCATCAGCATTTGTGGACGGCACAACAGGTGGCAGCGAGAAGGAAGGCGAGAACAGCCTGAGAATACTTGGTAAAGCAGGCACTGCCCAGGTCGAAATCCAAGCCCATTACATTGGCACCACCATCATTGTGCGCCAGGTGGGAGACTACCTGACCTTTGCCATCAGGGTCCCCGAGGAGACTTTGAATTATGCGGACGAGAGCGTGTGCCTGCAGCTCTGCCTGCACGGCTGCCCCCGCAACGAGCTTATCAAGGAGCACACACTATCCAGGAGCCCGTCCAGTGCCAAGCTGCAGCACCCCCAGCAGGTGTACACAGTGGAAAGCGCCACGGCCAAGTGCCGGGAGATCCTCCAGGTGGAGGACGTGTACTTCCAGTCCTGCGTCTTCGACCTCCTGACAACGGGGGATCCGGCATTCTCCATGGCCGCCCACGGAGCCTTGGAGGACCTGAAAGCACTGCACCTCAATGTTCTCAAATTGCACAGCTCCCCCAGGACTGAGGAGGGCAGGAATGGAGCTCCACCCTGTCACCAGACAGCCCTCATTTACCTGGCATGTCTCGTCTTAGCAACAACCCTCATGTAGTGAATGTGTATACCCTCAGATTGCAAATTGTCTATATAATAATATATTGAAGTGTACATATGTGAAAATGATGATGTGTAAAGTGCCTGTACATATAGTTGTATTGTGTGAATTGTATGTTGAGAACCTTTGTTAGTAACTAGAGATTTTTTTGCATACTCATGGTTTTAAAAATCCTTTTTCTTCGGGAATGAGATCAGATGGGCATCTAATCTTTGCCTATTAAAAAAAAAAAATTCTGTTAAAGACTTACAAGGACTGTCCTGTACTGAATTTGTGTGGTTGGCGGTGTTTTTGGGTTTGCTGTTGGAAGATATCCCAACCTTCCCCATCGCTCCTTTTCCCCCCATTTTCTCCCTCTTCCCAACATTTAAATATTTCCAGCCAGAGGCCTCTTAAGAATTACCGTCACCCGACTCCGCATCCTCTGCAGCTGATGGACTGTACCCTTGTCTCCGTCGGTCAAAAGGTTCAAGTCTCACTTTAGTACTTGGAGTGCAACAACCTAGACCCACACTCTCGGAGTTTTAGGGTATGCTGTGGTGTCAGAGGCGCTCTCTCTCAGTGGAGACACTCGGCTGAGGTCACGTCATCCCTTGCAAGTGGATGCGAAGTAACCTGCAGTTCTTGTTTGAACGGAGAGTGGGAGGAGCTATCTGTGGCCCATTTTCCCAAGTCTTCTGTTGCCTTCAATATCTAGGAATCTGTCTAGAGTATGTTGTCTGGACCCCACTGCCCTCTGGGGTTGAGTATTCCAAAGGTTCAGCACCCACTGAGTGAAGAAATTCCTCCTAAATTTAATCTGAAAAGGGCTTTCCCCTTATTTCTCAGACTGTTCGAGCCACCAGCACCCAAAACCAAGGAAACAAGCTCCCAGTCGAGTTTTGGATGTCTGAATGATATTACCCCTCGTTCGTCAAACCTGGAGAGAATATAGCCGTGGTCTCGTCAATCTGTCCTTGTAGCACAAGCCCACCAGGAATCAGCAGGTCAACCTTTGTAGTACTCCCTCTGTTTGGGTGTGTATATACACTGAGCTCACAGGAACCCGTGCAGTGAACTCGTAACTATTTTGAGACATCACAGCATTGTTATGGTGTAAAAGGAAGCTATTTGGGCCACTGTAAATACTCCTGGCTCTGAGCACTTTAACTTGGTGCAAGTCACCTGTTTGTTGTTTTTACTTATGCCCTCTTGAATGTCTCATTTGAAAGAGCCTCTGCCAAACTTCCAGGCTGTGCATTTTGGACCCAAGCCACACTCAACTTTTCTTCTGCCCCAACTCACCCTGTATTTGTTTATTTTGCCAACACTTTTTAAAATTGTGCCCTCTATTTCTTGATCTGTTTGAGTGGGATCTGTTTCTTCCTAGTCACTCTGTCCGGACCTCTCATGAGTTTGAAAACTTCTATCAGATCTCGTCTCTGAGGGAAAACCGCTCCAATTTCTCCAGTCTATGTCACTAAATGAAATTTATCATCCCCACACTGATCCTTGTAAACCTCTTCTGTGCACTCCCTCTCTCTGTCTGCTCTCTCTATCTCTCTTTCTTTCTTTCTCTCTCTCTGTCTGCTCTCCCCGGTGCGTTCACATTCTGCCTAACATGTGGTGCCCAGGAATTTGGTGTTTAAGCAGCAATCTAATACCTTTAAGTCCACCATCACCTCCCTGCTGTTGTACTCTGTTCCCCATTAATGAAGCCTGGAATAGTGTATGCTTTATTAATTGCTCTCTCTACTTGTTGAGGTTATGGGGAAAAGTTTTTGGAGAATCAATTTGAGAATTGCCACACTGGCCATAATTTCGTTGAATGGTAGAGCAGACTAAATGGGCTGAATAGCCTGCTTCTGCTCCTCATGGCATATGGCCTCAACCACTTTTGAAAGATCTCAGGTGGTTAACCCAGTGAAATATTTTGTTGCACTTCAGTTATGAGGAGAAGCTGTTCATGGGTTGACTACAACAAGAGAAAGGTGAGAGATGTGATAGAGGTACTTGATATTATAAGGGTCTATAACAGAGAGAAACCTCTCGCTTACAGAGGACCAGAAGTTAGAGGACGCCAATTTAAGGTCACTGCCAGAACAACAACATGCGGGGAAGCTTCTTAGCGCAGTGAATGGTTGGGATCTGGAATGCACGGAGTGTAATGGACATGGGTTCAATTATGACTTTCGAAAAGGAATTCAATAAGACCCCTGAGTAGGCTGCTGCCCCCTAGGCCTGACTGCCTATTCAATCGGAATATAGCTGATCCCAACTCCACTTTGCTGCCCCTTCTGTCAGAGTACTTGAAATGATTGCACAAGCCTATAAGGAAGCCGTGACAATACAGTGTGCCCACCCCCAGCAGTCCTGACGAAGGGTCCAGGCCCGAAACATCGACTCTCCTGTTCCTCTGATGCTGCCTGACCTGCTGTGTTCCTCCAGCTCCACACTCTATTGACTCTGACTCCAGCATCTGCAGTTCTTACTATCCCTGAAGGAAGCAGTGAGTATGGGCCAAGATGAAGTACTTTTGGGGAGAGTTAACGTGGGGGATGCCCTCTCCTCTCTGGTAACCAATGTATGGGGCCATGTCTTCACAGATTATTCCAGATAAGATAAAGTAAAGCTGGCCCGAAGACAGTGAAGCTCATTCCTGTACACGTTTCTGTGCAATCTATATGATGCACTGCAAAAACTCATTGAATCCATACAGTGTGGAAGCAGGCCATTCAGTCCATTGAGTCTGCACTGACCCTTTGAAGAGCATCCCAGCCAGACCCTGCATTTCCCATGCCTAATCCACCTAACCTGCACATCTTCAGACTGTGAGAGGAAATTGGAGCACCCAGAGGAAATCCACACAGACACTGGGAGAATGTGCAAACTCCAAACAGTTGCCCAAGGCAGGCATTGAACCTGGGTCCCTGGCGCTTTGAGGCAGCAGTGCTTACTACTGGGCCAACCACGATGGCATTCCCCCCCCCACCCCCAGTATGTCCGGAACTTGTGACCTCTAACCCCTAGCAGGACAGGGCCGTGAGAATGCCTCCCTTTTAAGCTCCTAAGCTACACACCATCCGGAGTTTTATGCTAAACAGCTAGTGTTATTCACTGTCATTAGGCTAATCGTGGAGCTCCCTACCTGTTTAATGGCAGTCAAAAAGTCCCTTCACTATGGCTCAAGAAGATGTCCCAAGCTGTACTCTCTTATGGCCAACTAATGACAGGGAAACAAATGATTAGTTCATTTTCTTCATTAGTTGATTCCCATTTCCAAATAACTGCTGTACCTCCACTTCTCTGCAGGTGGTGCCAGTGAGCCACCAGCAGTAACTGCTCAGTGCCACCACCTGCAGACAACTGCTAGTACTGCAGTGTAGGATCTGACCTGGAGGAAACAACCAGAGCGGGAATGGGAAAAGGCCATTGATTATCCCAGTGGTACGTACCACCCCACCAACCTCCGGATCCAACGCATCATCCTCCGACACTTCCGCCATCTGCAATCCGACCCCACCACCAAAGACATCTTTCCCTCCCCACCCTTATCTGCTTTCCGGAGGGACCACTCTCTCCGTGACTCCCTTGTCCGCTCCACACTCCCCTCCAGCTCCACCACACCCGGCACTTTTCCCTGCAACCGCAGGAAGTGCTACACCTGCCCCCATACCTCCTCCCTCACCCCCATCCCAGGCCCCAAGAAGACTTTCCACATCAAGCAGATGTTCACCTGCACATCTGCCAATGTGGTATACTGCATCCGCTGTACCCGGTGTGGCTTCCTCTACATCGGGGAAACCAAGCGGAGACTCGGGGACCGCTTTGCAGAACACTTACGCTCGGTTCGCAACAAACAACTGCACCTCCCAGTCGCGAACCATTTCAACTCCCCCTCCCATTCCTCAGACGACATGTCCATCCTGGGCCTCCTGCAGTGCCACAACGATGCCACCCGAAGGTTGCAGGAACAGCAACTCATATTCCACTTGGGAACCCTGCAGCCCAATGGTATCAATGTGGATTTCACAAGTTTCAAAATCTCCCCTCCCCCCACCGCATCCCAAAACCAGTCCAACTCGTCCCTGCCTCCCTAACCTGTTCTTCCTCCCACCTATCCCCTCCTCCCACCCCAAGCCGCACCTCCATCTCCTACCGACCAACCTCATCCCGCCCCCTTCACCTGTCCGTCCTCCCTGGACTGACCTATCCCCTTCCTAACTCCCTACCTACACTCACCTTTCCTGGCCCCATCCCCGCCTCTTCGACCTGTTTGTTTCCTCTCCACCTATCCTCTCCTCTATCCCTCTTCTATCCGCCTCCCACTCTCTCCCTATTTATTTCAAAACCCCCTTCCCCTCCCCCTTTTCTGATGAAGGGTCTAGGCCCGAAACGTCAGCCTCTCTGCTCCTATGATGCTGCTTGGCCTGCTGTGTTCATCCAGCCCTGCACCTTGTTGTCTCTGATTATCCCAGTTCTCCTTTTTGTGTATGGGAACTTTAACAGATATTTATCACTTTGAGTATATTTCATTTAGAAGCACAATTTTGTTTTAACACATATTAAAGTAGAAACTATTAATTGCATAAGAAACACAGAAAATGCTAGAGAAGCTCAGCAGGTCTGGTAAAATCTGTGTGAAGAGAGAAAAGAGAGTTAACCTTTCACGTTTGATAAGAACGCTTCCTCAGAGCTACCCTTTCAGTCTCATATTTTAAAGGTTGTGCCGTATTTTATACTGCCATGTTCCTTAATCAGTGTGGGAGCAGGCCATTCAGCTCATCATCCACACCGACCTTCTGAAGAATATCCCACCCAGACCCACTCCTCTACCCTATCCCTGTAACCCTACATTTCCCATGGCTAATCCACCTAACCTACACATCCTGCTCACACTGCAGGGCAATTTAGCACAGCCAAACCACCTAGCCTGCACATCTTTGGATTGTGGGAGGAAACTGGAGTACCCCGCAGGGGAGAATGTCCAAACTCCACGCAGATAGTACCTAACAGTGGAATCGGTGCTGTGAGGCAGCAGTGCTAACCACTGAGCCACCATATTGCTCAAGGTGCACCCTTGGTCTCGTATTTGCAGGACAGCTTGTGGAAGACTTCAGGATGTGTTTATGTGTTCATGTGTTCGTGCTGGACCATGAGTGATCATAGTTTTGTGATTCAACAAGATAAATTGTAAGTTATAGGTGATTGTGAATCACCAGACCCCTCCAACAGCCACCCCCACCCTTACCTCTATGCTTAATCCTTAC